TACAGGAGTACGAACGTATAGTACAATCTCTTTCATATTATTTATGATTATGTATTTGGGAATAGTACACGAATTTTAAAAGCTAGTGCCTATTTATATTTATCTATGTTCGTTTATGAAAAGCTTTTTTGTGTGAATGTGTTTTTGTTATTTATGAGAAGTTTATGTGCTCTCTCTCTCTCTCTCTCTCTCTCTCTCTCTCTCTCTCTCTCTCTCTCTCTCTCTCTCTCTCTCTCTCTCTCTCTCTCTCTCTCTCTCTCTCTTTCTCTCTCTCTCTCTTTCTCTCTTTCTCTCTTTCTCTCTCTCTCTCTCTCAGTCAGTCAGTCTGCCTTTGTCTCCCTCTCTCTTTCTCATTCCCTCTATCTCTCTCCTTCTCTCTCTCTGTCTCTGTCCCCCTCCTCTCTCGCTCAAATGGTCTAAGAGGTCTCCATTGCTAATATTTGTCTGTTCTGTAAAGTGTCTCCCCCCTCTCTCTCTCTATCTATCTATCTATCTATCTATCTCGCACATGCACACACACATCTAATAAATAAGTGTAAACTGTGTTTGTCTCACAGATAAGCTCTTGAAAAAAGCATGCTATTCATGAATCGGATTCCAGCATGGATTTAACGGCGTTGGATCATATTAGCAATGCAATAATAATAATAATGACAATAATATTAATAACAGTAATCATAATAATGAATTCTCCTCTTTACGTTTACGCACCACTAATTCGTGTAGGGAGGTTGCTAAATTCGCTAACTTCCAGTCCTTTTTTTTTTTTTTTTTTTGCTATCTTGAAATTAGATAAAGAATAAGTAAATTAAAAGGTTCACTATTTCCATTGTTTTTCCCTTGTAAATAATTAGACACACAAAAAGGAAACGAAATTTGACCAAAAAATATATCTGTTTATGGTTGTACTGTTTTTTTGTTGTTGCTTTTTTTGTCTTTATCATAACAGTGAATATTAGAATAATATTTGCAATTGAGTGAATGATGCATCTCACTTTGAATTTTAATGTGAAAAAGAAAAAAAAACCTTCGTATTACAGTCTTATCTAGCAAATGTTGCTCTCTGAAAAAATCGTTTTTTTTCATTCGGATGCCGACAACATGAAGATAAGACCCGTTAAAATCGGTTCTATAAAGCCTCTGAAATCTTTGTTTAAATTTCTAAATATAGGTAGCCATATATTTCTTTATCTATCTATTTATCTGTCTATTTTCCTACATACACACACGCATATATATATGTGTGTGTGTGTGTGTGTGTGTGTGTTTGTCTGTATATATATATATATATATATATATATATATATATATATATATATATATATATATATGCATATATATATATATATATATATATATATATATATATATATATATATATATATATATATATATATATATATATATGCATGCATATATATATATATATATATATATATATATATATATATATATATATATATATATATATATATATATATATGTATATATATACATATATATATATATATATATGTATATATATATATATATATATATATATATATATATATATATATACATATATATATATATTATATATATTTATACATATATACACATATATAAATGTATATACATATGCATATATATACGTATACATATTCATATATTACACATATATATATATGTGTGTGTATGTGTGTGTATGTGTGTGTGTGTGTGGCCTGTATATATATAGCCTATACAGGCCATCGGCCCACCTCTAACTCCTCGCGTTGTTACAAAAGTCATCAATACGAGACTCCAAGACATTAGATAGTGTCTTGTTGATCGAGTTCATGGCTCCTGTTGCCATGCCGATCCGTCTACTGACTTCTTGGTCTGACAGCCCAGAGAGATGGACTACATTACTAAGATATGTAAACCTCTCTGTGACTTCAGCGTCCTCATTGAAAGCATGTATCGACTGAACGGGTTCCCCTAACAGGCTCCCAAAGTCCTGAATCTTTGTCTTGGTCCAGGAGACCTCTAGGCCCAAGGGTTTCGCCTCATTGTTAAATGCATCAAGAACCGGCACTAGTGGTTCCAGATAGGATAGCCTATGAAAGTCAAAGTCTGTAACCTTGATATTGCTCAGTGTTGCTCCACACTGACTTTGGATAGTAGCTCTGCCTATTATCCAGTCCATGCAGGTGTTGAAAAGTGTTGGTACAAGGATATAGACTTGCCTGAATTAACAGAGAAGAAGTTCGAGAGGTCCCCACCACACTTTACAGCACTGTCAGTACCAGTATATAGGCTTGTTAATAGGCCAATAATCCGTGTCAGAATTCCCCTAACTCTCAGGACCTCCCGTAGCGATTCTCGATGCACCGAATCAAACGCTTTCTTGGGATCGATGTAGACTGCGAGCAGCCCACAACTGAACTTGCGACGGCGTTCCACAATAACTCGAGGCACTAGGATACGATCTATTGTGGACTTGCCAGGAGTGAATACAGAATATAGTCCACCGGGA